AGCACCAAAGTGTCTACCTCCCTGTTGCCTACCATCTGTACTCTTTAAATTATTTATATTTGAGGTTTCTCATATAAGGAAAAACCATGCAATATTTAATTTTTATGTCTATTTCACTTAACATTATGGACTCAAGATCCATCTATGTTTTCTACCAACGACTTATATTTTTCTTTGTTGTTGAGTAATACTTTATTGTGTATATATGCCATGTTTTTTTTTATCCATGAGTTGATGGGCATCTGTACTGTTTCCGTAACTTAGCTATTGTGAATTATGATGCTGTAAACATAGGTATGAGTATACTACTATAAAATGATGACTTTTACTCTTTCTGGAAGATACCCAGGAAAGGTAGATACAAATTTTACTCCTCAGGCAGTGTACGTTCATTGGTTGCCATCTTAGTCCCTGTTTCTGAAAGAGGAACAAGTCAAGGAGATTGGATTAGACTACTAGAAGCAGACTTTTTTTTATTTTTATGTCAATATCATTAGCCTTTATCAAATAAGAACTTGGAATAATTACCTAATTAGTCTTATTTCATTTTAAAATTTTTCTGCCTTCTTCTACTGTGAAATTCTAAGAGTTGTGATCATTACTTCTATTTCTCTGCTGTGAGCTAGAGATTCACCTATTTTCCAAACATGAAAGGCACATTACTGTGATTTTTTGTACATATTGGTTGCCGGCCACCAGTAGAAAGTGTATCTGGAAATGTGAGGGTGTTTCCTCTCTTCTCTTTTTCCTAGTGAGCCTGTTTAGACTAAAGCTCATTTCTTGTAGGATCAACTGTACCTTGCAAATATGTCTCAATATCTCAAAATTTTCTCCTCAGCTTCCTAATGCTATCATTATAAAATGCTGGGATGCATTAAAAGCTGCAAAAAGCATTCATCTTTTAGGTGATAATACAGACTACTTATTTTTCTGTTTTTAAATATTGCTGGTTTCATTTTCAGGCAAGGTCTCCGTATTTACAGACAGCAGTCTGGGAAGAGAGGAGTTTAAAAGAAAATTTTTAAAAGCACCGAAATAACACTGAATGGCTCAATTTTAACCACTTATTGACTAATTCAGATACCCTAAAACATAGACTCATTCTGACCAGGGCAAGAGCTAGAATTTGGGGAGAATTTCTCTCCTGAGAATGATTTGGTGTGGTGCAGAGAATAGTAAGCTAACCCAAATAGACTATGCAAAAATAGCAGATTTCCAAAATGGATACTTAACTTCAACTAAAGAGATGGCAAATATTATATAATCAAGTCATTATAGTCATTAAATATTTATTAATGTTATACAATTTGCCATTTATTATTCTAGTTTTAGTATATTTTTGATATACTTATCAGAATAATATTAACGAATTCATGGGGAAAATCCACTTCAAAGATAACCGAAAAACCCATTTTTTCCCCTCAGAAGCTTTTGTATGGAAAACACATGCAGAAAAAGAGCCATAGAAATAAAAACTTAGAGCATCCTTGGGCAAAAAGGTAGTACACTACTGTACTTTTCATCCCATCTCCAAATGTGGATTGTTAATTCATTTTAATTCAAGTCTCTATTGCTAGAAAAACAAGATAAATAAATAATGCATGGTTTAAATGTAAGGAGATACATTTCCTCACTTGATTCCAATTAAAACTTGTTCATATGATTTTGGCTTTGATGTAGGAGCCCTCATCAATTTAAAGAGCGAGTCTGTATGGTAAGAACTAATATCCCAGATCTAAAAGTCCAAGCATAAGTTTGGGCTGGGGCATTGAAATTTGAAACTTAGGAGCTGCGGCTTGCCATGGACTGAGTGTTTAAGTCTATTCACTGAAGTAAATACAAATTCTGGTTTTTAGCAGAGCTATTGGCTGGCTCTAGCAATAACCTCTCAAATGGCCTGTGGGCATATTAACTGGTGCAGCTCAAGACTAGCTTTGTACCCTGCACTCAGAAAATACTTAAATGAATAGAGATTAGTAAATCTGGCAACAGTAGTTTCCTGGCAAACATCAGCAGTTTTTAAAAATGTTTGGAAATAGCAAATCCTTGATTACATACCATGAACATTCACTGTCCTGATGTTTTTAACCTATGCATTTTCTAACATGGAATCAATGGATCATTTCTGATTCATTGACTCTTATCTCATCCCAAGGTTATATCAACAGTGCTATTTTACAGTCCAAATTGCTGTTGAGCTTTTAAATTAGGCATTACAAAAATCCAAAAATAATATTTTAACCAGGTGTAAAAACAAATTGAAACTTACACAGCCTAAACCAGCTGAAAACATGGATTCTACAAGCCCCACACTGGCTCCATACTGCACATTCCTCTCTAACTACAGGATTAAATCTTGCCAATCAACACCTTGGTCTTTTCTCAGAGTCTTACATTTACAACTTTTGTAATAGCCGAACTCACTACAATTGCATTGCTCTAAAATTTGGCTGCCTTAGATTGCAAATATTTACCTAACTTTTCCCTATAGAGAAAATGCTATCTGTAATATTAGTATCTTTGTGATATCCATAAAATATTTTAATTTGTGCTACATTTTGTGGAATAATTCACTGTATGATGCACAACAACGCTAGAAAATGACAAGCCTTGGTGACTGTCAAGGAGTACCATACACACTGGCAGGGATAGGAATTTATGCTTCAGAAAATTCTCAAATCTCGAATTCCACTCATTCCTTCTGTATTCTTCTAATGGGAAGCAAGGGAACTAAAATAGGTATGAAGGGTACTTAAAAGCATATTAATATGGGGCAAAAATTTGACAAAAATTACATTTGAGATGATCTCATGATGTTACTATCAATATATAAAATTAAAGTATCTCAGAATGATTTACATAGCTAATAGAAAGGCTAAAAATAGTTACAAATTGTGACAGTCATTCCTAATGTACTCATTGACAATCTATGCATTCATTCACCAATATTGGACCATCAACAAGCATGGCGCACCTAGAACCTGTCAATGTATGATGGTCAATGTGCCTCGCAATAGAAGTATCAATCACTATCTTGCAATAGACACAGGCATATAAATAACTGAAACAAATTGTGATAGAATTTATGATAAAAATAGAAAGCTTAAGGAAACAATTGGAACTTATCTGATTGTAAAGCTCTTCATTAAAAATCTTATTCCCAAACTTATGAAATTTAAGTAAGTTTCTAAGGAGGATGTGCACAAAGGGATTCCATTAGAAGACTAGCAGTTGTAGAAGTTTGGGGACGCCACATACTAGATTATGTAGTCAAGGTGTTGAATGAATTCATTGATGCCTATTACAAAAAGGGATTTTCCAAATTCTATGCCTAGTCATTTGATTCCTTCTATGGCAATAAGGACAATGTCAACTAATAAGGAATTTCTCCAAGAAGACAGAGACAACCTGGGATTTTCTACACTCAGGCAGCTAAGGAGGGCTTGCAGTGGGTCCTAACTAGTAGGAAGGCGGTTTGGTACTTTTTAGTTAGTTCATCAACCCAGATGCATAGGCAGAAATCTTAACCTTGTCTTCCCACAGCACACAGCTCAGAGAAACAAAAATGTCAGACACAAAGACTGTTGGAAATGGAGCTAAACCAGTAAAATTCTAAAAGACAAATACAAGATACCTTGCAGATATGTGTAAAATTGTAGTCCAGGGAAATGAAAGCAATTACTGAAAACAAACTAAAGTAAAATGACTGCAGAACCAAGGACATAAAATTCTACTCTGACAAATCTCTCTATGCCTCATCATGTGAGTGTCTATAAAGATACAAATTGTGCAAAATATTGGGTTATTAATTTCCCATTAAAACTGTTTAAGAATTACATGCGAACTCCATCATAAAAAGAAAGGCATGAAGAAATTTTAGTGTTTTGAACGATGCATGGACTCAGTACTGAAGAAGAATGTAAAAGCTATGGTGAAAACAAATGCTATGTTCTTTAATATTCTAATAAGTATTAGAAGCCTTATTGCTATGCTTTAGATCTAGAAGAATCTCCACCAGTCTCACCAGCAGACCTTTGGAGGGTGACCAGTTCATAGGGGTACTATATGTGTCATTGCATTGATCTATCGATGTGTAAGAGCTAAATGTACTGTTAAGAGGTGGAGCCTTATTGGAAGAGCTATGTTACTGGAGCATTTTTTTGAGCTTTTCTTCACCTGTCCTCCCTCCATGATGTCTCTGCCTTAGATCCAGTTAACCATGGACTAACACCTCTGAAACCATGAGCCAAATTAAACCTCTCCTTCTTTGTGTCAGATATTTTGATTTTGTCCCAGATATGGGAAAATTAACATACTTATTCAAATAAATATATTTGGGTGAACAAATGTCTGTGTGGATAAATGAAAGAATTCTGAAAAAAACTTTGGAATATATATATTATATATACTATATATTATGTACATGTAAAGTATATATATGGATATATGTAAACATATATAGGTATATATGTAAAGTATAGATTAAAAGTAGAACATTAAGGATTTTAAAATTTAAATGTACTTTTTATCTTTTTTTCCACTCACTTCAAAATGGCTAATGACTCAATTTTGTAGCAGATATCTTGCCATCTTATTTTTAGGTATAGAAATAGAGATTGATGGATAGAAGATGGATCAAAGGTTAGATACAGACAGGTGAAGTGTGTGTGTGTGTGTGTGTGTGTGTGTGTAAATATAAGATTTGTGTAGCAGGTAATTTAATTTCATAGATGCTTTTAATAATTGTCTCCCTGGAAACTTTCTCTGTTATTTTCTGAACTCTGCCACACTGCTCTCCAAGTTTAGGCTTATTGAAGTTCTCTTTCACAGTTCCTTGGAATTCCAATAGTCTTTCTTTAGATATGTTAATATATTTAATCCTTTAAAGTTAAATCCTTCTGGTCCTGGAAGTATTCAGGCTCTTTTAATTGAATTTTCTTCTTCACACGTTGATTTTACAGTTTAATCTCCCTGGACAATTTTACTTCCCTCTTTTACAGGAGCTTGGAGGATTCCTCATGTCTAACTCTTGTGCCAATTGAAACATGGGGACATAAAAACACACCATGGCCTGGGGAGTTGTGAACAGCTTGTGAATTACAAATCTGTGAGACAGTAGGAAGAAATGATGGGATTTTAATGGTAGGTCAGTGACATTTTCTGCAGATCCAGGTCCTTCATGGGACTATTTGGCACTATTAGACATTAGACACAGTCATGGTATTGTTCTGCTATTTGAACAATATAAGGGCAGTGACCTTTGCTGTTTTGTCAAAGGACCGGTTCTTCAAATGTAAGGTTTCCCTGCTCCTGTATTTGGAAAGAGCCATATAGAATTTTAATGTTTCTTATTATATTCTTGCAGAGATAAAATCGAAGCCATTGCTTATATCATATTGTTACGTGTTTTTTTTAGAGTCACAGCACCTCATGTGTGTTCTTTCTTTACACTTCTTTGTCTTTCAAGCAATAAAGGCTTTAAGCATTTCACAGTGACAGTGATTTAAAAACAATATTTGGTGGAATACAAGCAATTTGATCAAGAATCTGTTGTTCATTTACAGCATGTAGTCCAAACTGACTCAATAGTTCCTAACTTTATTTTAAATAAGTATATAAAGTCAATAAATGAAAAGGTGAAAGCACTGAAAATGCACATGCACACTTTCTTCAAAGTTATCATATGTGTACATATGATTATATGTACATGTATGTACATATGTACATGGTATATACATATGTCATATGTATATATGATTATAATTAATGTAATGATATAAAATCCTTTACTGACTCAATTATTTCTTGGGCACCCCTCTGTGTCAGTGTGCAATAATTCATACAGGATTTTTTTTTGGTGGTGGTGGTGGGGGGCGGCGAGTGTTCTGGGAATTGAACCCAGGGCCTTTATGCCAACATCCCTGGCCCATTTATTGATTGATTGATTGAGTGAGTGATAGACCAGTTCTGGAGCCCAATCTGGGCTTGAACTTGCAATCCTTCTTCATTAGCCTCTCACAGAGCTGAGATTAGAGGCAAGGGGGATCATGCCCAGTGCCACTGATATTTTTATGGAACATAATAATATGGTCATATTAATAAAAAATAGTCTGGCTAATTTTACGTAAACAAAATAACAATATTCAGAATATTTCTGAACTTTGCAATCTAAATATTTACATGTAAAATATTTCTGTGCTTTAGGGAATCAACTGAATAAACTCATTGTCTTATTGGAACAAAGAAAAATATAATAATCTAACAGCAAAAAGAAAACTATAATTTTTTAATGATGGTCAACACACCAAGAAACTGAAAAAATGACAAATGTCTGAAATAATATTACTGACATTTACTTGAAAAGTACATGATGGATGGATGCAGAACATACAAATTATTACTTTGGAAACTAAAAGACTTACAGTTGCAATATGTATCACTTGTTATCAGTATGTGAGATTTGCATCAGTGCAAGAACTGAAGGAAACATCCAGAGAGGGATAGACAGTGTCAGCATAAAGGAAGAAATGAAAATGTATCTCTGAGTACAATGCAAGTGAGGAAAGCACTTCAAAAGAATATGATTGCGGTGGTCTATATTTATGCTTTCTCAATACCTTTTAGAGTTATGTTTTACATTTATATAGGAAATGGTGACTTCAATAACTTCCAGTACCAGAGACTCAGTTTGGGACCTTAAAATTCAAGCTGGGCTTGTTGTTTCTCACACAGGGAGTAATAATACAGCTTGTTAGGAATTACTTCATTGACAATTTACTTTATGATGTGCAAGTAAATATAGAATTCAACTCTCTCCTATTACTATATTAACTCTGTAGTTCTAGCAGCAGCAAAAAACAGTTGTTCTTGCATAAGCAAACAGATTTATGACTTAGCAGAACACAATAACAGATACGTTCAGAACAAAAAGTGTCAATTTCATATAGTTTCTTTTCTTCATAAAATTGCACTTAGAGTCCATCTGATATATTGTACTTTTCAGTGATATAAAGAGAAATGTAAGATTTAATAGAGCATCATTGAGCTCTAGTAATAGAATAAAAATAAAACTTCTGCCAAAACTATGTAGTTTGAGACATCTTTTCTCTGTGTCTTAGTATCTCCCTGGAATTAAGCCTGGAAACTTGTAAATACAGAACAGAAAGAGGAAGAAAAAGAAGAAATATTGCTTTTGATAGAAAACAGAAGAACATTTTATTCTCTTGATAACTTCAAGGAATCATCTACTGTAATGTTTTTAAGTAGAAAATTTAGAGCGCAATTCAGAATTTATTAAATATGTAGAACATATGCAAAACATTTTAATACTCAGAGCTAATGAAGAACTCTCTCCTTAGAAGACTCATTAGAAGAACACTTTGAGACACAAACATACTTACATATGTTTGTAAAATAATTACCACATGACTTTCAAAAGCCATAATATGTTATTATACTTTATCCAATTATCTACTTTTAGAATTGTATCCTACTTAAAATAGAACCACATGTCAATAATTATTTGGTAATCTCATCAAATAATTACATATAAAATAAAAACTAATTATTTAAATGTCCAGTAGCAAAAATATCATAAGTTAAATTGTGATGAACTCATACAATTGATGGAGTTTATCTTTCATTTTATTGATTAGGTAACAATCCTTGGAAGGCTACTTATGTTTCATTAATGAATTGTCATTACATGTTAATGACCCACAAGCATATATTCCAAAAGATGCTGCTGCTTTTGATCAGGATCATGAAAAGCTGAAATTTCAGTCATGACAAGCCTTCCAGAACATTGCATAGAGAGCATCCCTGTCCTACCCTATTACACTTACCTGGGTATTTTCTTGAATAAATATTATTTTCTTGTTTTATCTCCTAATTTTCCTGAAATACAATTGCCAGCAGCTTTGTAAGAAACAGACACATATGGTGGTTCTTGTTTGTCTAAAAACGTCTTTCTTTTCTTCTCAAGGTTGATAACTTGGCTGGGTATAAAAGTCTAGAATTAAAACTCTTTAATTCAGAATTTAAAAGCTTTGTCCCAGTGTTCTCTAATTTCTAGGGTTGTTTTGGGAAGCCTGGTCCTTCCTTTGCCTGAAATCGTTTGAAGTTTCAACATGTTTTCATCTGAGATGTTCTGGTATTTCACAATTATATTCTTAGGTATATAGTTATACTGTCTGGCTGAGACATCCATGTCTTAAGTTTCAATGACTATTCTTCTAACACATGAAAAACTAATCTTCCCTTTTATACTTTTATATTTTTCCTCATATTTCTTCATAATTAAATTTGCTGCTTTTAGAGAAAACTTCTTCTTTTTTTTTTTGGTACCAGGGATCAAACTCGGGTCCTAACGCTTGTGCAGCAGGTGGAGAAACCACTGAGCTAAATCCCCAGCCCTAGAGAAAACCTCTTAACCTTATCTATCAAACATGTATTGAATTTTTGTCTGTCATACTTTTACTTTTAATAGTTTTTTACCATTTGTCTCATATTTAGAAACTGTTTATGACTATGAGTTTAAAATACTTGTCTAAGCTAGTTATGAATTCCTCCTTTACTACACTGGGTTTTGTTTCTTCTGATCTCTAATTGGTTTATTTACTTTGGAATTAATCTGTCATAATATAAACTTTCCTTTAAATCTGATGAGCCATGTTTTTTATTCATTTAAAATGTGCTCATGTAAATATTACGTCACTTAGTCTTCACGCTTCATCTCACTGTTTTATATTATCTCCAAATCCAGCATCAGCAAGCCTTGCTATTTTTTATTTTGTTTTGTTTTTGTTTTATTTTGTCTTCCTGAAAAAATCAAGTGTCAGTCGGACATATGGGAAAGGACACAAGGGAAAGGGTCTAAGTGTGTAGTGTTTTGACAACTCTGGCTTGAGTGTTACCAGAAGTATAAAGAGTACCATTTTGTCTTTCTTAGTAGCATCATGCTTCATCTCTCTCCTTATACTATATAGTCTTGAGCCATCTCTGGATCTTTTTTTAAGTATCAAATAGTTCATGAATAATTAGTATGATACTCTGGAGACATTCTGCCTGTAGTTTCCTTAAAGCAGTTGAATGACTAGCTACTCTTCCCTTTCATACAATGTCTTTTTCTATCTAAGAATAAAAGCAGTGAAAATTGTGTGTTTGGGAGACACATTTTTTATGATGCCATAAGCATTCTCCTCAATGCTCATTCTCCTACCCCTTATCATGTACCCCAAATTTCATAAAGAATAGTCTATAGGAGTTGAGTTCTCTAATATCTACTCTCTGAACCTAGATTCCCTTTCTTCCTGCTATTATCAGAGAAGGCTCTATGTCTCTCACCTGTACTTTGTTCTCTTGTACATCATCATTATTTATCAGCTACCTATGTTCTCTGAAATTCATCATTTATTTTTCACGTCTTATATCACCAATCACTCCCTTATTTCCTATTTTATTTTAAGCTTTCAATAGTTTTATAAAGTAAAATTTCAACAATATTATTAGTTATTCATAACTCATATATCTCTTACCTCTAATAGTACAATAATATAAGCAAGGTTGAAAATAATACATATGTTTGTACACACAAACGTGTGTATAGCATGGATTTCATTAATTGTTTATTTGAGAGATCTCTAATTGTTAAATGACTAGGTCAAAACTTTCAGTACTTTTGATTTATGACACTAAGTGCTCTTTAGAAAAAGTTCTGAAAATGTATTTCACCATCATTTTGTGTCCAAATGTCTTTGAATTGTCTACACAAGTCCTTAATGCTCAATCTTGTATTTCTCAATCTAATCAGCAAAATTTTTATCACTTTTTAATTGATGTTTCAGTTTTTTATAATGGTTTTGGTCAGAGATTAAGTTTTTATATACTCAATGACTTTCTTTAACATTTTTGAGGTATTCCATTTTCAAAAATATTTTCAAATTCCCTTTGCTTTGTATTTTTGCAGATTCCATGTGTATATACTGAGTGCAATTTATTTTGACACAAGGTTTAAATTAGGAATCTAAATTTTCTATTTCCAAATGATGAATGGTTGTCCCATCATTCCTTATTGAATAATCTTTCTCTACTGTCAAACTTGCCACACTAGAATCATATTT